TCAGCACTGTAAACAGTGTAGGATCGTTGTAATTGGAAGCTAGTTGATGCTAATCCTTTGGGATGCCGGTTCTTGGACTGAGAATTCCGATTATATATATTACGTACATACATAGCTCATATAAATTGTTTGCCATAGGTAATTGGATAAAATATGGTTGATTTTCCATTTATTTTGATGATCGTTATGATATCTTAAAACATCCACGATGTAGTGGTAATTACACTGTGTGTGTGTGTTTTGTGTTTCGTTCTGGATGTTTTAGTGGGTATTGAGAGATGAGATTCATTGTCTAATTTTGGCTTAAGAATCAAGATAGGTATGTTACTTATTTATCATTATAATATAAATACTTACGTTATATTGTAGTATTTTAGGAAGGGGTTAGGGAAAGTTAAGGGGGTAAGGAAGGGGTAGCCTATTCTATGCCGGGATCATACTACAGATTATATATATTAAGTATTGCATATTGTATTGTCATCAGGACACAAGGTGTGTGCAGAATTTTAGTTCAATTAGACGTCAAAATGTGTTTCTAGTTCATTTACCGAGTTTTGAACTTAATAAACTAATATACGTTTCAACTATTACCTATAATTTATATTTAAAAGTGACCTATTTTTTAAATTTTATTTTTCTATATAATCTAACATATATCCATTGCAAGTTAAATAAAAAAATATGTCTCGTAAAAGATCACGACAAATTTTTATTATTATAACCATAAAAAAAAAGAGTATCTATGTCCAAAATCAAAAGTACATTTACCCTCGTCTGTATCTAGAGGTAGACAGACCCCATATTTGGCCTACAGCGCTAACTGGACGAGTCCAGGATGTTATTTTAGGACTTGCTAAGTAAACATTGGCCCTTTTAATCGTTTTCGTTCTATATTCATACGATGTCCGTTTTTATTACAAACATTGTTTTCTGATTTGTTTACGCAGCGCTTTTTGTTTTTTTTTATAATTTCGCTGACAGTACGGACCTTTGTTTCTGAGTGTTTGACTTTGGAACTTTTTTGAAGGATTCCAAAAATTCAGATCACATTTCACCGACTTTGAAGAGTGTATACAGATTTTGTTATTTTACCATGACACGTGACTTCACCGTCATGGTATAATAAGAGTGAATACAAAAACCATATGGTCCATGAATACGATCAATCAAAAAGAGAATACTTTATTCTCAACAGTTGATTGTACTATGCCGGCTCACTAAGTGTTTTTTCACGCTGTACTTATTTATATCCAAATATATAATATTTCGATATAAATAAGTACATACTAAAATGTTAATTTTACAATAAGATTCTGATTATTCTATCACCGAAGTTTTGGATTTTGATGAAAAGGCATTTGGGATTTAGCAAAAGAAAAATATGAAGTATTAATAAAAAGTGATAATCTTAGTATATATATATATTTATATATTTATAGATATAGTATTAGTATATATGTATATATAAATACATATATCACATATAATGATATTTTTATCATCATTTAACCCATATATCTATCCACTGATATGCCTTCCCCAATGCCTTCCAATATATGTGATCCTCCGGTTTTCACACTGGGGGACACACATTTTTGGTCTTTTTCATTAGGGAGTTAATGTCCACAGGTACCCACGTTGGGCAAGCAGATTGGTGACTGAAATTATTGGAAGGAATATAGAGGGGGATTTTAAAAAAAATAACGAACTTTAGAGTAAGGGATAGGATGTTATTAAATAATATTATAAACATCATTGATATATTTAGTAGTAGCCTGCCAAAGACATTGGAAGCGGCTTACAAATATCTAGAGTTAGTTTAAATATTTTTATTATAATTTTGTATGTTTTTTTTTTAATTTTTTCCATTGCTTCTGTCGCTATGTTTTAATGCGACAACCTTCATATCTTTGTCATATTGTCCATCTTATACATTTACTGAGTTTTTTTCCCCCCGAGTTAAATATAATAATTATTTATAATATATATAGATATATATGTCCTAATATAAAAAAAAAAGACTATGCAACTACTTGTGTTCGTCACTAGTTTAGATATTTAGTTCCGTTTTCCTTGCCAATTTTTGTTAAAATGTGGTTCTTTTGCCATTATCATTTATAATATACTGTAAGTTATTAATATTTATTTTAATATCTATCGCGCTTTCACAATCGAATCGCTCACTGGCAAAACCCTGGCAGTCGATAACAAGATGGTAGATTGTCTGTGGAGTTACTTCATCACAAGGGCAGTTAGGCGAGTCGGCCAGTTTGAATCTGTAACACTGTTTGGTTAACGCTCACTGGCAAAACCCTGGCAGTCGATAACAAGATGGTAGATTGTCTGTGGAGTTACTTCATCACAAGGGCAGTTAGGCGAGTCGGCCAGTTTGAATCTGTAATCTGTAACATGTTTATAACATTGATTTGGCTTTTGCTGTCATATTGTTGTAATTATTTTTAATGAATAAATATATAAATAAATAATAGTCACAGCTGTAGCTCCGGGGGCGCGTATCCATATTAATTGGAAAGATGAACCCACTGAAGAATATATTACATATAATACACTAATAATACATAAAATTAATCATTATGACCTATAACACTTAAAAGCATAGAATATAACCACCTGATAAATCGGAAACCTAATGTGCCCACTATTCTAATGTATTCACACAAACCATCCATTCTATTCAAAATTCAATAGCCGCTGTATTTAACTAATTGCAACACAACGTGTGTACATGACCTAATTAGTTAAACTGTACAATACAAGCACTAACGACCAGAGTACTCGTGGTCGTCACATTTAGCACACGCAAATGACAGGATATGAGATATTTTAAGAATGTGTTCCGCAAACCTAACTTTAATTGAGGAAAAACTAGTTTTATTTTTTTATACAACTTAGAACGGCAAACAAGCTGAGGGCCCACCTGATGTAAAGTGGTAATCGGCGCCTATAGACATGAGCAGTACCATGGACATAACAGAGTATACTGTTTCGTCCACAATACCCCCCATGCGTTGCTATTCCTGAGGACTCGGGTGTTATTCCTCTGTATCCAGTATTACGAGTATTATGATTTAAAAGTTAAACTATTGAACCGATGTTAATGATATTTCTATTTAACTAATTTAAAAGTATGTCGTTTCAGATAAAAAAAAGAATTTTCCAAATCGGTGTATAAATGACGGAGTTATAAGGTAACAAATGTAAGAAAAAAAACAGAACCGAATTCAGAGTCTCCTTTTAAAAAGTATCTTGAAATGTGGTCAAATAAGTGTAAATGATATTAACAAATATACTTATTAAAGAATAGTTTTTCTTTTCATTTAGAGTTTCCTCTTGTAGGTGCAACTAATTCATGAAATGTCTTCCAGCCAGCTCTATTCCAGGCCATATCTTTGACCTCTCTATACGATATGACATCTAGTTTTTTTATGCAACTTAGAATGGAAAACAAGCTGACGGCCCATCTAATGGAAAGTGATAGTCGTCGCTTATAGACATGAGCAGTACCATGGACATGATAGAGTACACTGTTTCGCCCATGATACCTCCCATGCGTTGCCATTCCTGAGGACTCAAATGTTATTCGTCTGTACCCTGTAAATTCACTGCCGTATTCCACCATTCAAACCGAAACACAGACATGCAAACACAACTGCTTTACGATTAAAACACGAATGGGACAGAGGTGCCCAAGCAAACGACTTTTGTAAAAAGTCTCCCTCTACCAGAGGGAGACTTTTGTGTGACCTAATGTAGGCTTTTATCTGTCCCATTTAGCTATTTCTCGGTCTTCCCTTTACTCTTTTGCCTTCTATTTTTCCTTCTATTATGCTCTTTAAAAATCATTATGCTGTTTAAGGTGGCCCAGCTTTTTGTTTCTTCTATTCTTTATTGTTTTTATTAATATTCTTTTCTCAAAGAACTATCTAATTTATACTGATGGAGAAGCTAAAATCACCATTAGGATTTTCTGAATGTGTTCCCGTCAAAATAGTTTTTTACGTTGTGCGAAAATGTCACTTTTCTTTGACACGACGACAGAGCCGCTCTCTCTCTGTCTCTGTCTCGGTGCGAACCGTGCAAATCCTTTATCAAAATATGTTTACGTCGTACCTACACGCCTCTCTAATTTCTTACGTACTTGTCAAGCTTGTCACGTCGTCCTAAGCGAGTTTCTTCGCTAACAATAGTATTACAGATACTGAGTTTATTTATAAGTAAGTGTTATATCATGTTAGTGTTATTCTATTACATATTCTGATATATTTATACTGCTATTGAGATTTGGCTTTGAAAGGTTTTCAACTAGAATTTATGAAAAAAACTGTCTGTGTCTGCGAGTTTTAATAATCTTTATTTGCAATCGGATAGGGTTGTACACAGCATTTAAATTTTAAATTCGTATTATGTTGATATGTAATAGCGCAACCGCGAGACTGATTTTGTAAGTCACTGTGGAATTACAATTGTTTATAATATTGATCTTTCGTAAAGTTAACAGCGACTATTGAATTTTTTCATAGGACAAAGTTACCGTGCCTCGTCTCCAATATTGGTCTATGGATCGTTATCCTTATTATTATTATTTTTTTATGGGTGAAAATGGTATGGTAACCCCGCCTGCGCTAATGGTATACGCTTGCGGAGGACCAGTGAAGGGTGATAGATAAGAATGAAAACAGGCCAGTTAGCCCATCATGATTTCATGAAGGGCTAACTGAATGAATTCATCAGGAATTAACCATAATAGTTTCCAGGGAGAACTGCGAGGAGGTCGATCTGGTTGGGTATATTGCTAGCAATGGGATTCTCAGTCTCCATTACTAACGATCCCTTTCCCCCCTATTATTATTATTATAAATGTGAAAGTGAGTTTATTTTTTATTACTTAATGCCCTAATAGTTTAATCAATACAATAAGAAAGTTTTTATTGTGGTCTGGGGACATATGGTATAAAAAGGTAATACAAAAAAGAACAAACCTCAATAAAAGTGTCGGTGACAAATCTCTGAACAAGAGTGGTCTTCCCGCACTGTGTGTCTCCAACCAGTACCACTTTGATCTCCTCCTCAGCGGTGGGGGTTCCCGCTGAACCAGTCTCTGAACACTTCTTGCCTGACCACATCTTCACTGGTGTTTATCTGTGAAAGAAGAAATTGAAAGAATTATTTTTCATTAATCACAAACTATCTCCAGCAACTACGAGTATTGACAACTATAGGAGAGTTTGTAGTATGTTTATAAATGGCCGAAATAATGTCCATCCGTTCGTCCGAGGGCCGTCACTTATTTTAAACTGACATTAAAAAAGTTCTAAATTCAGTTTTTTTATTTGTTATTTATAGTTCCATTATTCATAAATCGATATGGATTTTTTTTAACTAAAAGGATATACTTTTAGGTTGGCCCCATAGAAATTTCATCGATTTCGGTTCAGTAAATTAGTAGAACTGATTTTGCCACGATTAAAGTTGGTTTTTTTTTTTGTTTAAACACAATCTTAATTCGGTCATCACAACCCCAGAATACATGTGGTATTACTGTTCTCTCTCGTCTTATCCTTCAAATTGGAATATATCGTGAATATACGCTATTTGGTGAATTTTATTAAATTCATATTAGTTTTTAGGTTTAAGATCTAAAGTTGTAATAAAAATATATTTATATATATCTCGTGTCCTAATAGGATGTCTATCTCTTTTGCTCCCATTACAATGGCTAAAAGACACATGTGCAATATTTGTTCTATATTTGTCTATATACTACAAATCCATATAACAGTAATGTAATAAATAAATAAAAATAGAAAGAAATGTTACGTTATGCGATCGATAATTAAAGATTTTGTAAAATTTTATAATGTCAAACTTTTGTTACAAAAGAGACACGTAGACAGATAATAGGGATCGCGATAGAAAGATATGTTGGAAATAGTATCGTCAAGAATTCCAAGAGGTTAATTACGTATATTTTGCTATATAATCCTAAAAGTTTTGTTTCATTTAAGCAAACTTCCATTCCTGTTACAGAAATGGCGTTTGAAGGCGTTTGAAGCGTAAACATATTTATTATATTTAAAGTCGTATTGCCATTTTGGTTATTTCACAAGTTCTCTAAGTAATATCTTTATCGGGGTTGTAAATGTTCTATAATCAGATATACACATTTTGGAATTACATCTTAGTCTTCTTGCAAAAAGCAAATTTCTTTTAGCAAAATGCATTAGTTTAAAATGTTTAAAACGTCAACAGCATTTCCCCGTTGCGCAGTGCAAAATAAATATTTGTATAACTCGTAACTGCCAACCCTAGCAAAATGTCGAGTGATGCCCGTTGAGAATATGTACATTGATTAATATACCATTCATAATATTTTTATTTATATATTTTGATATTGAATTTAATATTTACATATACGTTGTGTTTGTATGGCTGTATTTCGGTTTAAAGGGTGGGATATGACAGTGAATTTACCCTGTACAGAGGAATAACACCTGAGTCCTCAGGAATGGCAATGCATGTGGGATATTATGGGCGAAACAGTATAGTCTGTTATGTCCATGGTACTGTACGTGTCTATAGGCGACGGTTACCACTTTCCATCAGGTGGGCCGTCAGCTTGTTTGCCATTCTAAGTTGCATAAAAAAAGGTATATCTAGTTAAACTATAAATGTTATAGGTTGAAAATTTTATCAAAACAATTCATCATTATCAATGAATCATTAATCATCATTGTTGGAAGAATATAGACAGAATTCTATAAGCACGTTTTGACTTCGTAATTCCGATACGAAAATACCCTGTATAAGTAGAGGATAGTAGAAAAAACAAAATATAAAATTGGCTAGACTATTTAGCTTCACTTCCTTTTTCTCATAAATAAAATAATTAAGTGAATTATTATGCAAAAAATGTAGCTAAGACTGGACTTTAAAGAGTTAATTTAAAATTCACTTCCAACCTTACTTTTGAGATAAAAGACTGAATATAAAATTCATAAAATGAAACTAGCTCCTTATAAATGGACTTATGAGGCAATTCGGGTAAAGAGAGTGCAAAAAAGCCAATGAAGTCATAAATCTCAAGCACTTGAGTGTCTATTGGTGATTTGAAAATAATTTTATGGCCGTAAAGTAGTAACTCCATGAATAATGGAAATCTTGGGACGAGCATGGAAGAATTTTTTTTAATATTTTAGACTAATGTCCTCCAAATGGACAGCATCTGGCTCTTTTGCTGTTCTAAGTGTAAATAGATACATATTTACAGCCATTTATAATGACAATACATATGTATGTATGTATATATATACTACAGTGAACTTTGGCCATTTCCCTATCTCGCGCTGTCTCAGATCAGGCGCTGCTGATAGTAAGTAGACGTGGAAGTGTATGAATTATGAATACATGGATTGCCAGCGTATTGCCGATATTTTAAAGATTTATAGGCACATTTTATAAGAATATCCACATTATATTGCAAAGAGATTGGTGTATTTAAAATGACTCTTGAGGTAAAACATTTCGAACGAGACTGTAGATTCGTGATATTATTAATATTTTTAAATGTAATTTATACAAAGATGGTAAAAAATTATACTTAATGATTATTAAAAGTGACTTTTTATTATTTATGGAAGGTTCTGGCAAATGTCAATGCATCGCTTGCAAAAATTAATTTAATTTACCAGCGCGTACTGTGTAGTGACAATGCGGGCTATTTTGTTATTTGGCCAATTTTAGAAATTAACTTTTCTAAATTGGCTCGGCTTGAATGTTTGGGTTTTGTCCCCAGATGTTTGTTATCTCTTAACGTTGGGTTTAATAACGTTCTAATTTTAAAATAAAGCTGTTGGTAATTTTAATGTTTGGCACTCACAATCTATTAATACTACAACTGTGAAAGGGTTTATTTTTATAGTTCCATAGACTAGCGGCAGTAAGTTGACTGATTTTTGTTTATCGGTGTCATTATCATCATTATAATCAACCTACTGCAGTCCATGCGGCTGGACCTATATAAACCTGTCCGACCTAAACCTTTCCAAAAATAAAAGAATTTTGTTATCAATTATTCAAAGCAAATAAAGTATTCTAAATTCTATTCGAGAGCACGTCGTTGATTGCAATCTTTGGCTCTTCGTTTCCACCACTCTAGTTTGATATAGTACCTATAAGATAAAAATGTAGCGTTACATGAATATGTTTTTTGCTAATGTTACTAATGTGGACTACCAGTCCCATTGCTAACAATATACCCTAACAAGTCGACTACCACGTGGTCCCCCTGTAAATCATCGTGCTGAATTCTAGATATATTCATTATGGTGGGCTAACTGATCTGTCTTTTCATTCTCATCCATCATCCCTCACTAAAGCCCCGCCAGCGTATACCGTTAGCGCAGACGGTGTTATTATTCCATTATCATCCATAAATATGCTCTATGTGTTTTTAAAATATTTCTATTTATATACTAAATACATATAATTAAAATCCGTTCAGTTAAGTTAATTATGCATAATAAGTAACAATGAAAAGTTAATATTTAGAACATGTAAATATTTTATAAACTTTTGCATTTATATTATCAGTAAGATTATTATAATTGTTAATTGTATCCGCATAATGACTTAATATATGGTTTCCCTACATAAGATATGGTTTAGGGTGCGGAAAGGGAATTAATGAAACTTCCAATGGACAAAGTTAGGATTCTGTTAGGCCAAGATTACTGTTGGGGCCAAGATATCTAATGGAACAAATAAAAATCAATCTTTATAAGTAGGTAACATTTTATCGTTTTAACTCGCTGGTTTTTAGATTGTTTTATAATTATTTTTTTAAATGAGTTTATTGAAAATTGGAATTTTATAAGATTAAAGCTTTTAGATTCTGTCTATATTTAAAATAATACTTTCCAATTGAATCAATAGAAAAAAGTTAAATAAAAGTTTAATTTTAATATTTTTTCAGTTTTATTTTCTTCACTTATTTTGGTTCTTATTTTAAAATTTCAAGTATTCTAATTGAAATTTCAAAATAAACCCTGCTAGTTTAAATCTAGTGATTATTTCTTGTAATTGTTTGTATCTACTTATAATAAGTTTACTAATGTAATCTTTTGGAGGAAACAATATAGTGTTATGTCCATATTACTGCTCATGTCTATAGGCGACGGTTACCACTTTACATCAGGTGGGCCGTCAGCTTGTTTGCCATTCTAAGTAGTATAAAACAAAAAAAAAAGAGTAGCTATCTATATCTCATATCAAAAGGTTTCATTCGATTATTCGAACACCGATTTTTATTTTTTTATTATGCGACGTAATTTTTTTTATTATTATTGGAAAAATCTACAGTTGCAATAGTTATTTAGGACAATTCTTTTAAAGGATCTTAACAATTTCGATTTCAGCCTGTCGATATAATTATGGCAGTGAAATTACAGGGAACAGAGACATAACTTCTTAGTCCTCAGAAATGGCAACGAATGAGGAGTACCATACATTACAGTGCATTTGATATCCATGGTGCTTAGAAGTGGATATAAAGCAAAATCTATGGGGGAAAGGGATTGATAGCAATGGAGTTTGACAGCCCCATTATACTCTATTAGGTCGACCTCCACGTGATTCCCCCTGGAAACCATCGTGAACAATTCTTGTTGAATTCGTCACGATGGGCTAACTGACCTGCTTTATCCTCACCTATCATCTTTCACTGGTGATCCGCCGGTGTATACCGATAGCGCGGGTGGGGTTACCATTCCATTATCACCCATTAAAAAAATACATGGATGTCAGCGGTACCAATATTACTCATGTTTTAATTAGTGTAGTACATAGCTATAGGCGATGGTTACTACTCTACATCAGGCGGGTCGTCAGCTTGTTTAACATTTTAAGTAGACATAATTAAAAATTTGGACAAACAAAAGTGACGATTATAAAGGTATCGATTTTTTGTCGTTTGATATGGAAGTCTAAGGAGGTTGGTCACAAATTATTGCCCCATCATTTAAGTTTAATTTGGACATTGATTAATGCCGCTAAGCTGCGGAGTTTGCTAATTTATTCTTAAGTTCAACACGAAATTTGTTCATATCAAATTGATTTATAGTTTCCAATATAGATTTATTGAG